CCCCGCCCCTCCCTGCCAGGCCAGGCAGGGGCTGACTCAGAGGATGGTGTGTGTGTGTGTGTGTGTGTGTGTGTGTGTGTGTGTGTGTGTGTGTGTTGGCAGCCCCAGCAGCATAAGAAGGCAAAGAAAGGGCTTACACCACCTCCTCCTCTCTCCTCTGCCCGCAGTCCCCATTGCTGTGTCAGGCAGGACCCCAGACCCACAGAGACCTACAGGAAACCACAGGCCCATAGGGGAAGGTTGGGTTTTGCAAACTGCAGAGCTTGTGAGAACTTTTTGAAAGAGAGGGAAGGAGATGAGGCTGGAGCCCTCATCTGAAAAGCCCCAAGTGTCCAGCCTAAGGGGAGGGGATGGAAGATTCCCTGAGGCCTCTGTCTGAACCTAGTGATCCCCCATTCTGGTCCCCTCTGTGGGCCCCTCCTTACACTCCCAGGCCCTGTCCACTTTTCTCCTCCCTGGAAGCTTCCCTTGACTCAGCTTCCTCTCCCTGCTCCACCTGGCCTGGAAGGAGTGGGCTCTGCTAGGCAGGAATTGGGGAATTCCACTTGGGGCAACCCCCTGTTGTGGGGGGAGTTTGTAGCAGCTGGAAGCTGGCAGACAAGGCTTTCTACCCTCTTCCTTCAGTGCCTTGGGCAAATGTCCTCACTATGCATTTGTTTCCTCAGCTGGAAAAAAAGGGGGGGGGGCCTCTGTCCCTAAATAATGTGAGGATAAAATGAGATTAAACCTATAAAATGCTTCATACAGTGTATGTTGCAAGTCCTCAACAGATGACCATGATTGCTTTTAATTATCTGAGCCAAGACCATGATTCCAACTTGGAGTCAGGAGACTGGGGTCTTGGGCTCTGATCTGCTGTGTGTGCCTTTCCCCTCTCTGGGCTTTGGACTCTTCAACTGCAAAATAGGAGGAAGGTGATCATCTCTGAGAGTCCTTTCATTCTCCAGACCTGCTCCACCCACACAAGCTCAGGCACCAATTATCAACACTTATGCCAACAACAAGCAGCCTCCCTCCCTTCCTTCTTCCCAGCCAGCCAGTGCAGGGGCAGGATCTACATTTGCCTTCTTGGAGGCATTATTTGGGAAGGACAACAATAAACATTCAACAAGGTGTATTTAAAGGGCTTATGTGCCAAGCACTTTATATGCTTATCTAATACATGAGTCTGTATGTTGGAGAAAACTAGCTTCTCTTATAGGAAAATGGAAGGTCTAGAGTTCACTAATTGATGAGTATTTGCTTTGGAGTCACACGAGTCTGGTTTTCAGTCCCAGCTCTGCCATTCCCCAGCTATGGGCAAGTCACTTCACCTCTGAGCCATAATAATAATAATGCATTTTTGGAGATTTACTTTGTAGTACTGTGATAAGTTCCCTATAAGCATTTCATCTCACCCTCACCACCATCTGTGAGGCAGGTTTAACGGGTACCCATCCCATTTTTAGAGGAAGAAACGAAGGCTCAGAGCAGTTAAGGAACGTACCTATGATCACCGAGTTAATACAGAGAACCACAAAACTAGGGCTCCCTGGTTCTAAAGCTTTTCATGTTTATGACCATTTACAGGGAACTGAAGTGACCAGAGGTTGAAGGGAAGTCGGTGATGGGATGGAGGAGGGAGACTTAAAACCTGGTCCTTCGGGCTGGCCCAGTGGCACATTGGTTAGGAATTGGCTTGGGATGCCAGCTCTGAGCAGCAGGGCCCTGATTTGGATCCCACATGAGGGTCAGTGAAGCTGCCCTCTACAGCTAAGATGGTGAACAACAGCTCGACCTGGAACTGGGCTGCCGTGAGTCACCAGCGACGGCGTAGGCTGCAG